GCAAAGTAATAAAAATTATATCTGGCACATTTCCAATTTTTTTGCTAACTCTAAAAAAATAATCGTAGCAACAAAAGACTCATAAAAATAATTTGAAAATCGTCATAGATGTGAAACATAATTTTCCTGGTGTGGTATTACTGATATCTGGTAAATTTTAAAAATAGGAATTTCTGTTGTAAACATAAAGTGATCTTTGATATGACCAGTATAATTATCCTACGTTCCATTATTCAGTAAGATGAAGTAAGACTTGACTTACAGGTGGATGTAGACATTGTCTTTGTTTTTATACTGATGCTTCTTTTTAAACAATGAGCCCTTTTTAGTCTTTGGTCATGAAGCTATTTAAAATGTCCTCTTGGTTTTTAATAACTTTTAGGAAAATCCATAAGTTGTTTAGTAGCAGCAGACTTTCCACCCAGGAAGCACACAATGAAGCCTCCCTAAGTACCTATTGTCTGCAGATCACTGTATTATATTCCCTTTGCCTCTGCAAGCTCAGTTCCTCCTCCTTTGCTGGGGCATCCTCCTTTTTTTTTTTTTTTTTTTTTGGTTACACAGAGCAGCCTTGTGTCATTCTTTGCATGCATCATTCCTGGTTTTTCTCTCCTCCTGCATAATGGCCCAGCTTTTCTGAGGATGGCTGTTGTCCCAAGTGTGATCCTTTACTAAAATGGGAATTGAATGAAAGTGAGCACAAATTTTCTGGAAGCAAACGAAAACCAGCCATTTGAAAAGGACCCAGAAAGAAACAAGTAATGAACCAGAGTGGCCTCCATGAATTGCTGTAGGGGGAATTCTTGGTCTCCCCACCCCACCTTTCTCTTTCTCTCTCTCTCTCTCAAACACACACATATATACACACCAAGAAAAACCTAGAGGGAGAATCTCAGTTAGAAGCCTGCCTCCTAGGCTGGTCTGGACAGAGGGTTGAAGTCAGTAGCCCTACAGGTACTAACAGAAACAAATGTATTTTATGACTAACAGTTAAGCATTCAAACATGCCGCTTTGGAACACAAGGTACATTGAGGAATTGACATCTCTTCATAATTCATGTTCATTGTTCCTCTAAGTAAAATATGTGTCTCTCTTTAGTTATTCTGTTAGGAACTGTACTTTAAAGGCAAGAGGACATTTTTGATAATGCACATCTTAAGACTTTTCATTAAAGTACCAAATTTAAATTCTACCTTTTTGTGCACTCTGACATTTTTGTCTGGCATTTTCATTAATTTTGCGACATACATAAATGTAGCTGAAATGTTAACTGATCAATACTTTGTCTCTCTCATGTAGCACTAGCGCTCCATTCCCCAAGGACCACACAGCAGAACAGAAATTAAATGTGTAAAATATCAAATGTTAATGTTAAACACAGCGGCACTTACTGTATAACGACAGAAAAGGCTAAAACAATTCCAAATGGACAGATGGTACCACAAATTATCTACAATCACATTTAAAGATTAAAGTTTGTCCTGTAAAATAATTCTTTGACGCACACTGAAGTGTGTCCTTTTACTGATAGCTCAGTTGTCCAATTATTTTTGTGCTCATTACAGTGAGAAATGACAGTACTGAAAAGAGAGAATGTACACTCTTTTTCTTTTTTCTCTTTTCTTTTTCCCATTTTGCACCCACTGACATCCACAAGAACACAAATGTCTGGTCAAAAGCCTGATGAAAATTAGGCCCAATTTATGAGGCATTTCCAAGTCTACGATAGATGATTCCCAGAGACAAGCAGCGCCTACACGCACATGCCTGTGTTCGCTCTTAGGTAGACGGTACTCACAGCAACATTCAAAACCCACTGCATAGTGCTCAAAGGAAGGCCATTCCCAGAAACATATTTGCTTATCTTTTCCCTCCCCTTCCAGACCAATTTCAGTTTCTATTGTCATCAGCTGGCTTGGAATCCTCCCCATAGCGTACAGGTAGTGCTATGCAGACTGCAGCTGCCCCGAGTCTGCATTTCTTGAGTTTTCCACGTTCGTTGTCACTGGGACACTAAAATGATGTTTTTTCTATTTTGACTTATATTTTTAGAGAGTAAATTAGAAAAGGAAAGTAAAACAGAATAGAAAAAAAAAAGACCTGCTTTTATAAAGTTTGATCTGGGCCTAAAACCAAGTTGTATAATGGTACAAATGCATGTGCTCCATGAGGCAGCTGCATTTATGAAAAACTGGGCCAAGAGGAACCAATATTATAATAATAGACCCATGATCCATCAAAAGGGCGTGACAGGAACAGTATGTTTGTAACAATGGGGTGCTGCTCATACTCTTCTCCTAATGGAAAGCACTCCTTTTCAATAAACTGGCCTAAAAAGGCTCCAGTTAGGTAATGAGATCTTTGAAACATTTCATTTTTAAAATACTCACATCATTTAATATCTATAAGATGAATAAAAATCTTACAACAGTTTTGAACTTTATGTTATTAAAATTGTAAGGTATATATTTTAAAGGCTCTTTTAGAGAAGAAATAAAATCTACTGTATGGCCTTGGGCAAGTAATTAACTTTCCTGTGCCTCTGTATACTGGGAAAATAATAGTATCTAAGTACCTAATGATATCATAAGGTTTTGGGGAATATTAAATTCATTAATACATGAAGGCATTTTCATGTGTTAATATGTAAAGAGTGGTTCCTTGGCACATAGTAAGTGCTTAATAAATACCAGCGCTTGTTATATAAGAATCTTTTAATATCAGAATTCAATCTGGGGTTTTATATTAATAAAGGATTATGGAATAGTTTAGAATTCAAATGGAAACTATAGAAATATTACTACAACAGTATTAAGCTGCAACTATCCTGATTTAATAACTAGCCTTATTCAATCAAACCCTTATCTATCTCCACATAAGAAAAATATTCATATTGATTGATTGGTTCATTAATTGGTCAATTGATTTAGTAAACCATTTATATAGGGAGCTTAGTAACTTCTAGATATTTTGCAGGTGATCCTGGAGTCCAGGATGAAAAACACAGGGTTCCCATTCTCAAGGAGCTCCCAGTTGAAGTCTAAATAAATAAAGCTTGGTTTTGTTATTCATTGTTGTTTAAATCACCTTCAACAGAATGTAATTTAGCACTTCTTTTTTTTYCCTATGAAACTGTTAATATTATTGTTTCTTCTCAAAATACTCTTAATGTGTGTTCACATTATTGTTTATAGCCTCTTTTTTTTTCTTACCCTCAGTGTCCAAGGCTCTTTTCCTACATTTGTTATGCCTGCTCTGCTTTTTGTGTAAGCCTCTTGCATTMAGCTGGTGTTTCATAGGACTGTCTGTTACAAACCGACCACCAGAAGAGAGAGATTTTTATAGTTCTTCCCCAGTGAAGTTTGCCCCCTTACAATGAAATCATATTATGTTCACGTACCTAAATTTCTCAGAATTTCAGTGTCTGGTTTTTATTTTTTTTTCCCAGAATCAGAAAAAAAAAAAAGTGAAAAAGGGCTACCATCTTGAATATATTTTACAAGAGTGTCCTTTAGAAGCCACAAGTTTATGAAGACTTACATAACACAGAGCAAARCTCAAGAGTTCAAAACAAATGTTTCTGAACAAATTATATAAATATATACACTTTTCTGTGTTCAAATTTCACAAACAGCTATGGAGAATAACTTTGGAAGGAGTGAATCAAAAATGGCAGCATGACCTTTCCAGTAGAATTTTATTGCTGTTATAAGGCCTCATAGAACCTGGAAGTAATGATATAAAATATACATAGAAACTCAGTATCATTTTTTCTCATTAACATCAAAGTGCCTCAATGCTAGTGAAAAATCAGAACAAAGTTTGTTTTACAGTACCCCRATATCTTTATTACGTGAGAGGACTACTAAAAGAGTATTGAGAAAGGGAGTTGTTGTCCCCCCCCCCCCTCTAAAACTTAATGATGATGACAGTCACTTTCTTTAAAGAGACAACAACATGTCTATGGGAAGCAGGCTGCCTAACTTTCTGGTAACTTACAACACAAAGGGACATACACACTCTTTGTTCATGTGCTCAGACATTAATGAAAGTCCCATAGAAGGCCTGAGAGGAGGACAGAGCTCAAAGTACTAAACAGATGTGCATACATTCATTTGAATGGTAATACTAAAATGTTGATTTGTTACTATAATTAAGGTTTTCTTGTAAGCCCTCATAATAAAGTCGTATTTTGCAAAACTGGCAACTATAAGGAAACATAAGGTACTTATATTCTAACAAACATGAAAATAAAATAAAGGATTTCAAAAGACAGACTCCACTTAAACTTCAAACTGAAATCCTGAATAAGCAAAAATAATGTGAGAACAGAAAATCCCAGCTAAAACATAGAGGAAATTATCTTTTTGGATTTTCTGGCCTTGCCAATTGGTCTCATCAGCACTTTTTAAATAATCAAAAAGGCTACAAGATGAACATTGTTAGAGGACTATTTGGATCCATCGAATTCTCACTTGTGACTTTTTAAAAACTGGAAATCTCAGAAGTAATAAAATACTCTTAAATGGGTCACATCCACTTCCAATTGATTCACATATTAAAGCATTACATACTACCATTCTACTGCCAATGATATTCATATTTGGGAGAAAAAGACTGTAGAATGAATAAAATCAAATTGGGGATGGTCAAGATTATAACTATTATTATTTTCACATTGAGGACTTTTCTTGGCTCTCTTATTGGGATTTAGAATTATGCAACATGCAAAATTTTACTTTTTAACTGTCACAGGGAAAATTATACATTGGCTGAGATGTCTTGCGTTCCGGAAATCTGGGGTGGGGGGTGTATTCTTGGACTCAGACCTTGAACAATCCATCAGGTTCCTGCCCACGGCAAATCTGTCCAGTCAAGTCTTAAAATAGGAGTTTTAAAATGGCCACATCAACATAACTGTTACTATAGCCACAGAAACATGCAGCTATGATTACTGAATTTAATGAATAACAATGTAAGTAATACAGAATGATCATACCACAAAAGCAGCTAGACTCCTTGGGGGTGAATCCCAGTCAAAGCAACTATTAACGTAGTAAGCAGCATTCACCAGCACCATGACACAGCGTTTCGTTCTGATAAAGTTTCTTAGTAGCAGCTGTAAGGAAAATGAAAAAATTATTAGAATTTGCAAAGATGAAAAAATGATCAAATATACTGCAAAATTCTTCAAGTTTATTATGACTTAAAAAGGATTCAGGGAGTTAATAAAGCCATAAGAACATACCAAGCAATTTGGCTCACAAGTTTAAGAGAAAAATGTATTTCTGGAGAAAATGGAAAAAACTGACCTGTAAGAGCAAGTTCTTAGCTAAATATATTTGAAAAAACAATGCTATCATATAGGTTGGATTTCTTTTTTCACAAGAAAAAAAAAATTCTAACAAATTTAAAAATTGCTATTTACTGAATAATTATTAATTTTTAAGCTCTTAAATCTTATTGTGGTTTTAAGATTCATTAAATGTCTTAACTTCAACATATTTCAAAGTGAATTAAACACTTTGGAATGTTTTTATTTAGTCTTAGAGAAAAACCTGTCAAGTATTGTTTATTATAGAAAACAAAATATTTTCACCTTTTAAATAAGATTTCTTCCTTTTTTACTAACATGTTCTCTACTAACGAATCATTCTCTCTCCTACCTTAAATGTAACCTATATTTTCTCATTTCTTATTTTGCATACTTTTGGAGATCAGGAAAAATATTATAGTAATTAAGTGCGCCATAAAATCTTTAATTTGAACGGTATACGAGAGTTGATATAATTTAAATTTAAAACTATAGCATGATTTCAACAGTAAAAAAAAATAGTGTACATGCTATATAATGGTTCAAACAATTMCGTACAGGTATCTTAACAGAACAATCATATGTCTGCAGGTTAATATTTTGCTACTCCAAATATACTTAAGTACTGGTCTGATGTTTTAAAGAAGTAGCTATGTAAAGTTCACTGAGGCTGTACAGCTAAAAGTATATGTGTGTAAATACAGATGCAAGTATGTGCATAACAATTTTAACACGTTGCTAAAACTGCAATTCCATTTAGGCAAAACGAAGTGTCTCCCTATTTGTTTCACCTTCCTTTAAGAACATATTTTATTATTTTTATCTATGTAGAGAAATGTAGTCTGAATTCCTGTTTAGATAGATATTSCATTTGTAGCACATACACTATATTTAAATATCCAAAGATCTCACTGTTTTGGGTAGATTTCTTAGATTAAAAATAAAATGATTTCAGGTTTCYAATGGCATGGAAAATTATCAAATATTTCAAGGTGCTAATAAGTTCAGTAAATTTTAAAGCCATAATAAGTACAGTTTATTTTTTGCTCTTTGATTAGGTGTAGTATTTTTGTTAAAAGGGGTAGTTCAGTAGCACTTTTAAAAAACTTTATATCAAACCAAATTTAAAATTATAATTGATAGGTATTGAGCTTAATTTAAAAGTCTTTCATGATAGAAAAGTGCAATTTCCTGGATTTCTATTTTCTTAGCTAAAAGTGGCAATGCAAGTTCAGTTCTGAAAGATCATAGTTAAAATCTAATTAACAGGAAGGTTCCTCTTAAAAGATGGAGCCCCCTCGCTGGATTAGAGGGAAAAGCTTTATTCGGCTCACTTTACACACACCTGCATCATACCTGTGGGTGGTCTGCACACATATTTGAACCTCAGCTTTTGGCATTCTCATTTGCACACTCCATAGCAATCAAATTGTATTTCATGTTTGAAAAGATCATTCTTTTGCTAAAACATGACTACATATCCATTATATGCAGTACCTACAGTATCCCTTGTTCTTTCTGACCACCCCCATCGAATGTATTAGTTTGGTATTGTCCTGGTTTGATCTTTTAAAGAAAGGAAGGAAGAGAGAGAAAGAAAGAAAAGAGCGAGCCATTTTCAATAAGTAGATGACCAAAAATTCCATCATCTTCCCCCCTCCCTACCTCCAAAATTTATTTGAATTTACTTAGATGTTTTACAGATATAATCAGGTCTTCCCGGAGGGATTAATCTTTCCTTGCTTTTTACCTGTTTAGAGAGTCTGTTTTCCTCTTCAATGTACTTCTGTTCTTTGGGTATTAATGTTCGTAAGCTGGCTTTCACCTATACATCAACATATGTGTCTGTTATGGATTAATATATTACAAATGTTTACAAGTTTTTCACGCAGTTCAATTTTCAATAATTTTTCAAGTTTCAAAGTCCTGGCTGCTGTGCTCATAAAATATAAATGTATACAGTTGCACATGCATGCACTTCCTTTTCTTAGGCAGGCAGGCAGCGGTCAGAGCACAACCACAGCAGCAGTCACCAACTATAACAGAAAGTGTGGGTGTGCCAGGCAGTGGCAGAAGCGCTATTCTCCAGGATACATCAAGGTTTAGAGAAAATGAGGAATGACAGAAATTCTCTACAAATCAGGAACAAAAGCTTTCATGAAACTGAACTCTTTAGCAGTACAAAAAAGCCAAAGTTAAGACTTACAGCATTAAAAATCACATCTATTTCAAGATAGATGACCCCCTTTGTTGGCCCTGTCAGCTGCTTGTTTTTCAAGACGTAGGCTTTCTGTTCACCATTTTGAATCTGCGGGAAAAGGACATGACAGCCGTCTGTCTCGCGGTCTCCACTGAATACACTCCCTCAGTGACCTTTGACCCCCAGCTGCTGAAACTGACAGAGAACCCAAAACAACTGTGGCAATTCTGACAAGTACCTGTTCATTACCAGGATCAAGTCTGTCAGGAAAAATTAACTATCATGGGATTCAACATGGCCGTGAATTGAGTATGTTAAAATTTTTAGTGTTCTTATTACAGACCTTGGTTGAGAAATGACAGACATAGAGCTGAGGKTTTTTTTTGTTTTTTTTTTTCCTTGAGCAAAAGCAACACAGAACAGTGTGTCAGGTGAATAAAACTTACAGACAGCAATGGTATAGCAACTTTGCCCAGAAAGTCAGCACTTCGATCCCGATCTTCATCATAAACTGTCACTTCAAGAATGGAATGAATATCTTTAATGTTGCTGCATAATAAATATATGTAAGAAATAAAAAAGATTTCATTAGTGGGAAACAAGAACTAAAATGGTTTTGAAATTTCAGATAGCTCCAGCTGATTTTGTATGTATATATTTTTATGTGTGTTATTTGCATATACACATACAGGGCAGCTTGGTATCTGACAGAATTTCCCATAGTGCACCCTAGTTGACTACAGTAATGGTTCTATTATCTAAATCTTTGAAGAACRCTGTAATTTCAAGTTATAATTTTTAAAAATGAAAAATAATTTCTCATCTGCATGAGCAAAGAATAAAGTTAATGAAAAAATCAATAAATGAACCTGCTGTTTTTTAGATTTTTTTCTTTTCATTTTAACAATAAATCATATTTTCCCACAAACCCCACATAAAACACCATAAGGTTTGATATCAGCAAGAGTCACCATTTATTTTTTATAACTATTATTTTTTATAATAATAGAACATGTTTTTTTTTTTTGTTTACAGCTCTCACCAAAACATTGACTCAGTTTCTGTTAGGTTCTTAGTGGGAAAAAAAAAATGAACAAACACAGAAAGCAGAATGGTGAAAATGTAACATTTATAGCAATTGAACCACCCTGGAATTTAGAAATTAAGTGATGTTCCATTATGTTCTAAAGACAACATATGTTAACAAATGACTGTGTGAGTTCTTCATATTCTTGTTTCTAGAAAAATAAATGCAAATTGTTGATAGCATTTATTCTTRGATCAAACTGTTTGCCTAGAAAACATGAATTAAGAGGAAAAAAAAGAATATTYATTACTGAAAAACTGCAACCACATGTGAGAAGAGGCTTTATCAAGGCACAATCAATTAATGGCTTTGATAATAATCAAACCTATTCATTTAATTATGCATTCCAGAGAAAAACACTCTCCACAACCTTCTTAGGAGTGCAAGTCTCCTGACTAGGCTTTCATCTTTTATAAAAATGTGGAATTCCTTAAAAATAAATTGGTCAGATAATTAAAGCTGATTAGTTACGGGCTCTTAAGGAAAGGCATTATAAGGAATTAATGAAGAATTTAGCACTTTTTCATGTACAAAATAAAACTGTGTTAGAAAACTTTATGTAGTACTTCTGTTTGGAGAGCTTTCTTTTGTTTAGAGTTCATTTCTAAAGCTCAATTTAAAAAAAAAAAAACTTAGGAAATACTATAGTGTAACATCGGCAGCTTTTACAGTGCATGATTGAAAAGATTTCCAAACTTTTTAAAACAAAAGGAAAATTAACTCAAAGGGTGTTTTGGTATCTGGGACAATACTTAATATTCTTATTGTGCTAAAATGAAACAAACCAAAACTAAAGCATCTGCCGAATTCGTGACCAGATTGTTTGCTGATTTCAGCAATGGAACAAATAGAGCTTTGTCCTCCTTGGTGTCAATGTGATTGGGAAGAATTTCAATAGAAAGTATAAAAGGAAGAAGCAGTATGGCGATTCTGTTGATGAGAGCAAAACCCTTAGTGAAGTCATATGAAAAACAGTCGTATAAAGAACTCAGTTTAAAAGATGCCTGTGAAAACAGAACAAAACAAAAAATGCCATACTTCTTTCCCCAGGTCTCAATTCTCAGGAAGGTAATCATGAAATTCCCAGTTGTTAGCAAAGACAGGTCAGATACATTGAGTTATGAATTAGCAAATAATAGACACACACACACACATACAGAAGTATATTTCATACAGTTCTGAAATGAGCTCAAGGTAATGGTTACTTACAATGTGAAGACTTTGTTCCACTCAGGATTGAGATTTTTGTAGACGGTATGTGTTAGCAGTCTATCATTGTTCAGTTCTACTACACAAAATGGGTCACTTTTACCTACAAGATATTTGAGGTGGACATTTTTAGTATAAATTGTACCCATCATTTACAATGTCATGTTCATGACCATGTTTATTTTCCAAAAGTTTTATAGTAAACAAAAAGTCAAGTAAAATTTTAAAAATAAAACAACCCATCAAAACAGAKTTAGATGTACTAGATGATGTTAGCAATCATAATGATTCACAGCAATTTAGAACCTGGAAAAGTGAAAAAGAACAAATTATATAGCTTAAATTTCAATTTGCATTTGTTTTACAAAAATAATACTATAATGAGAGAGAATGTGATGCATGTCCATCCATAAATCAGCTTTTATTTAATTCTATAAAGACCATTTGAAATGTTCATCTCCTTCAATCTTATGCATATATTTTTCGACTCATCTGATTGACTAGTAACTTGTAACTAAATTTCTAAACAAGTTTATTTTGAGAAAACTGCTATTATTGCAGAATTACAACATTTTAATCTAAGGCTGAGTTACTTTCTCCTGAGATATCTATGGAATCATAAGAAGTAAATTAGAACCTCTGAGGCAGAAAAAAATTCTGCCATTTGAAACTTACATCAACAACCAATCTGCATGTTAAGAGCAGTATTTTTTCTGTTTGCCGAAAGTAAAGGATTCTATCTATCATCTATTTACAGCAACTTTGCTCTGCCAGTCAAATCTCATCCTTTCTGCAATTATGTTTTGTGATGTTCTCAATATTTTTGTAATGTCATGTCCCGTGTTATAAGAACCCATAAAGTCAGAGGCTCTATGGGGGCAGCATTAATGATATTAGTGCAGCATGTAATTTGTTTGATACCTTATACAAATGACAATGAAATCAATATTTAGACAAAGCTGTCCAGAGGTCATATCTTTTAAACTACAATATTGATTTAGACTACATAAGAGGTTAATGTGCATATTATTAACTTTAATGATAAAGAATAATTGTTTTAAATGCATTGTGAATGGTACTCAGAGTAGTTTACACTTGTGAGAAAGCTTAAATATCATTGAAGATTTTCAATTAAATTTTAATGAGAAGAAATGTATTAGCTACCAGTGACAAATAAGCTACGTATGTATTCCCATACAGCAGTGTTATTTACTTTGTATAGTGTAGTTCTTAAAATTAACTGAACAAACTTTGACTCACTTTTAATTTGTTATTTCTATATTTTAAAAAAAGATTCAATATGTGTGTATAAGTTCAGTGGCCTCATATATCCTGGGATAATTGCATGGTTTAACATTTTGGTAGTCTTCTCAATTTGGAGTCTTGGGAATAATTTTCAGTAAAGAACAGGGAACTGGAAGTCTTCAAGGTCTGGTGAAGATTTCACTTCTGGCTTAGCATCTGTATTATCCCCCCCACCCCCACCCCCACCTCACCACTTCTTCATTGTTCTTGCCTTTACCTACCTATACCACTCTCACTTCCAGCTCACACATACRCTATGGAAGATAGTGTTTAAAAAAGAATATTTTCTTCATTAAAACATATTGCAACCTGTTTTATTTGGTACATCATCCCATAGAATTCTGGTACAAGCATGAAAAGGCAGGCTCAAACAGTTCTGGAAATATACTTAACTGTAAAGGTCTAGGCAAAATCTTCCTAATTAACCATCATGGTAGTTRGTAGGCCACATACATAGGAAAAGCCATGCTATTTTGATTCTAGATTCATATATTTAACCATCAATATTTACTGCTTACCATGTACCAGACAGTTTTCTATGCATCAGAGCTTTAGCAGTGTATAAAACAATTGTTAAAAATGCCTGTCCCTGTGGAGTTTACATGGAAGAAGAAAGCAATGACTAATTTTAGGTTTTTTAGGTGATAAATATTATAGAGAAAAATAATGATGAAAGGTGACGGTGAGTGCTGGTTTAGACATAAATTTTTCAAAAGGGCCACAAGAAAGGTACCTCTGAGAAAGTGACATTCAGGCAAAGAAATAAAGAAGGTGAAAGAATGAGTCTTGGGTTAGCCAGAGGAACAGATCTTGGAAAGGCCAAAGAAGTGGCTATCCCTGGCATTTCCAGGAATATCCAGGAGCCAGTGTGGTTGGAGGAATGGATGAGGTGGTGGGTAGGTGACRGAGAGGTAGGAGGAGAGTGGCAGGCCTTTGAAAGGACTTGGCTTTCACTCCAACTGAGAGAAAATGCTGTTGGGGGGATTTGAGTTGAGGATTGATATGATCTGATGGCTGTTATTTGAGAATAAGGTAGCAGCAGGGCACAGGAGGAGGTAGGGAGAAAGTCAGGAGTCTATTGAGATAATCTAGTGGTAGAAAGTGGTCGGATTCTGGACATATTTTGAAGATATTGTCAACAGGATTTGCAGATGTCAATATTGAACAATCTAAAATGCCCTAAAGATGGAAAACAATTCATTGAGTGCTGCTAAGCCAGTTCTTTTTCTTTTCTATCTTCTCTCTCTTTCTTTTTAAGAATAAAAAGCATTCAACAAGGTGCTCAGACTGGATAATTCTGGAATCTGACAAAGAGGAAAATTTAGGTAAGAAGAGAGTAGGAATTTTATGTTTCTTTTGTATTCATGTTTTATTTCTAAAAAGTTATCTTTTGGCAGTGTAAGTAATGGATGCCAACATGAAGTGTTTACACACGGTTGCTTTTCACTAATTTAGAAAGTATCCTTCCACTGTGTGATCAAGGGCAATTAAAAATTAGCAGCAATTTCAACTGTAAATATTAGATTCTGTAAACTTACCATTAAAAAGCATACACTTTAGTTTTATTTTAAAGAAGTGGCTACACATAGTTAATGTGCTTATCTGGCTTGCTAAATACTTTTCTAAATGACTGGCTTTTCAGTTTCTAAATTTTGCAGGCTTGATTATCTGCCACTTAAAAAAAAACAATTTAGAGAAATGCCAGTGATGGACCTAACCATTAATTATCTCTTAATTATTCTTTCCTTTTATCTTTTTATCATTCCTTTTAGACTCTGTGTTACACTGCTCTGCTTGYTGAGAGTACTGAGTTGTGGGATTGTCTATGGGATGCAATGTTGAAGTCCCTAAAGTGTACATATTCTGCAAAGATCCAGGGAGTGATACAAAACAATGCCCTGAAATGTTTTTGTTCAAAATCATACAGTCGGAAGTTGGAGGAATGAAGGCAACATCCAAAGTTGAAGTGTATTTTGTTTCTGATCATTTTTGGCTATTTAAAGAGCCTAAATGTATGAGAACATAGTACATAATATAATTTCTGATCTTCCTCTCMTTTTTGTTGTAATGCTACAGTAGATATATGGGTGCCAACAGGCTCTCGTAATCCCTATCCCTTTGAATATAAAGCACCCAATCCTCTTCTAGCAATTCAAGAAACTGGAGGTTTTGGTTTGCATGRAAGATAGAAATTTCAGCAGTGCTGGATGGTTGGAACTATGAAGTTGTTTACTTTAACCATCATGACAGCTAGAAGAGAATTTTAGCCTTCCTTGAGAAAATGGCAATTTTCCATGTTAACAATTTTCTAGAGAGTAATACTAGTGCTTTTTTGATGCACTCATTACCTACTGAGTGTCTGCCCTGCTCACCCTAGACCTACAAGTATGATTAAGACATAGGCTATCTCTCAAGGCATGTACAATTTAGTAGACATGAAAGACATGTAAATACACAATTATAATTCAGGGTTGTAAGTGCTATAATAAAGGTAAGTGAAGAGTTCAAAGGGAGCAATGAGAAAGAAACATGTCATCTGTAACTTCAGGATGGGAAAGGGAAAAGGAAGTAGAGACTGTCCCAGAGGATGTGACCCTGTGATCCATGGTGAATGTACATCTCTATCACTGGCATTTTTAGAAAAGAAGGACAACCACATAAAAAGTGCACTTTAATGTTTTATTATTAGGAGTATTTATTGAAATCTCTTTGATAAGGTCTCTATAACAAAAAAACCTAGATATGTGTAACATAACCACTATAAAATATTTAAAACTTTTGTTAGTATTGAGGTATTTCTAGTTAAATACTAGAGGCTAGTTTTTTTCCTATGGGTTTCTAGTAAGAAAATTTCAACTTATACTATGAAGCAGATTCTATCTCATAAAGCTGAGTCTATAATAGATTTTAAAGCATAAGAAGGCTTTTGTTGAAAAAGCATTCCTATGAGAATAAAACCAAACATTAGAGTTGACTCTAGTGGGCATCTATTCTGGCAACCTTCAAAACAGCACCGAGGATTAAACAGGGTTCACTCACTGACTGGCTACTTCTCTCTCACTCTTGGCCCTTGTTCTTTGAGGTTGCAACACTGACACATATATAAAAAACTGTGGRAAAGTCTGCATCACCTCTACTCACTTGCTAACTGTTTTATGGCAATTGGATGACTTCAGGTTATTCAAACTGTTGGTTTGGGCATTAAAGTCACTCAAAGAATACTGAGTTATATTCTTGCTCCAAGAATAGAGAGTTAATCTTGATCCATCAGTGGTGGACTTTACTGGGTCAATTTTCTGATAAATGAGGCCATTTGCCGGATGTGATGTGCTATAAAATTATGGGGGTGGGAAGGAACCCAGTGATCACCTCTTTGTTGCTGTGTCTCTGTAAACACACAGGCTTTCAGTGGTGTGGAAGGCAATTCGTGCCCACGGGGGCCTTTTATTTTGGTCCTACCTTGCACAAATTAAGCTCTTTGGTTTAATTTCTTTGGTTTCCACAGTTTGAAGTGAGTCTATTTTAATCTTTTTATAAAATTATAATTGAGGTTGCCATCTGTCCTTTCTGCAAACTGAAATTTCAATCATGGCATATAACAATGTTAGAGTGGAGGGAATCCCATAGGGTCCATTGGAACAAAAAGCAATGTGTGTTGAAGACATCTTCCAATCCTCCTCTTACCACTGGAGAACTAACGTTGACCTTAGTCTTTTTCATTGACTGATCTAAACACATTTTCAACATCTGATTGGTGGAATCACATTAACCATTAACTGACATGCTTCACTAGGTCCT